GGACGCGGAGGAGCGGAGCCCGCGGCTGGCGCCAGGCGGCCTCTTTTGTTTATCTGACAGCTAAATATCAAGGCGATCACCGCCTCGCGGCCCTGCCTCCAACCCCCACAGCTAAGACAAACAGTTGGGCTGAAAGAATGCCTCTGTTATCGTAAGTTTTTATCTCTGGTTCTCATGGCTCGGCCTTTATTTTCTCTTACTTTCTTAATTCCAGAGTCTCCTCCTCCTCCCTACTCCAGATACCCGATGGATTTTCTCAAACCAACTGGTGAGTGGATGATTTTAAAAATATCCTTCGTCTCGGGAGTGAGACACAGAGTCTCTAGAACGCGGGTTTTTATGTCCTGGCAGCGGCCTGGGGAGGCGCTGGGTTTGCCTGGAGGTGGTTATAGGTTTCCTGTGCTGGAAGTTTGGATTTTTCTGTTTTTGTTGTGGCTGGAGATTATATGTATGTATATATGTATATGTATGTGTGTGTGTGTGTGTGTGTATAAATTTTTAAAGAGTTTCTTAGATGTGCTTTACAATTTGTTCTTTTTTCCATGTATTTGCACCGGGATCAAATTGACTCAGGTTTATTAACACGTGGAATTTGATCCACGCAGAAGTGTCTTGGGAGCCAAAGAGAGCAGGTTGATGGGAACATTTGGAGGCTTTGTGAGTGCCAGTGGAGTCGGGGAAGAATGGATAATTCGGTGGAAGGGAAAGCAGTTTAAAAAGGTGCAGAGAAGACTCTTGTTGGGAGTAAAAGGTTTAGAAGATGTAAGAAGCCAAGACAAAACCACCCTCATGGGTTTCCTCTCCTCCCTCCCCGGCAAGTCAGCACTCCTCCCGGATTTTCTCAGAATTCTAGGTCGGGGCTATAAAAGTTTCTGGCATAGCTCTGCCTGCCTGTTGCTTTGTCACCGGGTGGCATGGGGCCAGGGCAAAAGCTCATTGGAGACTGGCACCAGCCCTGTTGTGATTGTCTGCATTCAACTCCTGGCTGGCAGTGCAGGGCTCACCCTATGGAGCTGACAGTGCCCGGGGGAGTGGAAGGGGGGGGGGTCAGCAAGGCAGGGAAGGCAGGGCCGTGTGGGGGTGACCACGGGGTGGCCCTGTGTCCAGGAGCCCCTTCTTACGGAGGGAGGTTCCTCAGCTGCAAAGTAGTGATTGTAGCTTTGAAACTCTGTGCTCTGTGTACTGGATGCCTGGAAAATAGAATGTTATTTTTTGCCAAGGTTCTGAGAAAAGTGGAGGGTTGGGCCTCATTTTGCTCTTGGAATTCTACAAGTCCTTGGCCTCCTGAGTTTTGCCTGTTGGGCTTTCCCCCCACTAATTAAAAGTTTTGCTGGGGCGTTGTCATAAATTAAATACTTTAATGAACGGTGTAACCGAAGCCCACAGCCCTCCCGGGACTCCACGCCGCTCCCTCAAGTCGGGCAGGCGTTGCTGCTTGCCTGGTGCCTGTCTAATAAGTGGCCTGCAAAGCATGTGATATTTTGCTTTCGCTTTACAAAACACCAGATAAATGGTCATTAATGAGGAGATAACCAGCTCTCTGTATTTGTAGCAAATGTTCACGGAAATTATCAAGCCCTGTTTTCTCAAAGAATAATTTTGACAGGGTTTTTGGCTGCAAGACTCAAGAATTCTTTCCTGAGGTTAGCTCTCCAAAGGCCACCTCTGTCCTGTTTTTGTTTTTTTTCTTCCATAGTCTTCAAATTTGGAAGTTTTCCCCCAAAAGAGAGACAGACCAGTTACCTTGACACCCCCCCTGGAGTAAAGGCAACTAAGGGTAAAATGTCCCCAGAAACCTATACCCATAGAAGAAAAGGGTTATATTCTCTTGGGTTTCCTGCAGAGATACCGGATTTAAGCGGCCATCCTGCCAGGCCAGGACATTTCAGTGAGTGGAGTGATATATTTATTCATTAGCAAGTGTTGACATTAGGTAGCAAAATGTGTGTAAACAGAGAAGCCACAAAGACAGGAATGTGCCATTTCCAAGGGGGAGAAAAGTTCTGCAGATCAGCCAATAGGAAGTGATTAACCTGCCAATCGGAAACTCAAACAGCTGGTTACTCACCCAAAATGCTTTGTGTAAAATAAAACAACAACAACAAAAAAAGAAATGAAGAAAAGGTGGTGGTGTTTGAGGACATGAAGGGTGGTAGCAGGGGAAGCCCCGGGGAAGGAACTATTCTGACACATGGAAGGGGCTGGGGCTGGGGCTGGGGCTGGTTTTGCTGGCTACTCGGCCAGGGGTGATGAGGTCAGATACACAGATGGGGGGCTGCCCAGGTTTTTCTCCTCACCTTATTATGTGGGAGAAGAATATTTGGCTGGGGAATTTAGATCTGCCACTTACATGCATTCTTTATTACTTAAACTCTTTAAAATAGATTTCAGAGAGGAAGGGAGAGAGGGAGAGAGAGAGATAGAAACATCAATGATGAGAGAGAATCATTGACCCGCTACCTCCTGCACACTCCACACTGGACCTGCAACTCGGGCATGTGCCCTGACCGGGAATCGAACCCTGACCTCCTGGTTCATAGGTTCACTGAGCCACGCCGGCTGGGCTGCCACTTACATTCTTAAGTTTCTAAGCTCTGGGTGGAATTTTTGGTCTTGGGTTACTAGGTGAGAACCTGTCATAAGGCTTTTACAATGGACAACTGTTAAAGTCTTAACCAGTTGCGCAACTCAGGGAATCCTTTCTGTGAAGTCCTCCAACTTGAGAAGAGGCAGTGGGAAGGGGGCTGGGTCCTAACCTGCAGCCTTCGGAGGGACCCAGGGCTGAAAGCCACGCTCCATTTCGCTGTGGTTCACTGCCCCCTCTGTGAGGGCCTGACATTTGTTGACCCGGGTGCCAGGCGGTCCCAGCCAGCAGCATTTTCTGGGAAGGAGCGTTAGACTAGACATGGCTGAACCTAAGGACAGGGTGGCTGTGTGCCCTGGGGCAATCAGAAGTGACGAAGACCCTCTCCTTCCCTTATTGTGCAAGGGGTAAGGGCGTGGTGTTTGCAATTAGATCTCACTTCATGGAGTGGGGGTGGCTCTGCAGGCTCGGCTCCTTGTGCCCCAGGGTTTGAAGGATGGCTGGGGACGGGGGCTGTTGCTGGGGGTTAGGCCCAGGTAGCTAGTGTTCATTGGCAGATGGAGCCTCCAAGTCCAGTTGAGAAGTTAGGGCCCTAACCTGCCTTTACCTGCTAACTCGGCCTACTCTGACCTCTTCCAGACCTCTTTATAAATCCAGGTGGTCAAAGAGTTACCATTCATTTGCTCAGTTTTTGCTTCATTCATTGATTCATTCATTCATTCATTCATTCATTCTGCAGGCCTGATGATGTGCCTGCCTAAAAACTGAGATACTTCCAATGCAGTAGGTTGTCCTTCTGTGACCATGGTTATGGATTGGGGCAGAGCTGGGACGCTCGGTGTTTGGTGGTGGTGGTGGTGGCAGTAGGTCCTCTGTCCTGGACAGCGTTTAGGAAGCTCGGAACTAAGTTGACAAGATTATCCTGGGCTCTGGACCCTTGTACTCCTCTACTGATCCCCAGGCTTGCATCTCCTAGGACAGTGGTCTCCAACCGGTGGTCCGCGGACCAAGTGGTCCACGAGGTCCGAAAGGTTGACGACCGCTGTTCTAGGACTCGCGCTGCTGGGAGAGGGAGTGAGCTCCCACAGGCCCCACACTTGCTGGGTGGTTGGCAGTGTTTAGGCTTTAGGAGTGTGTGCCAGCCTGGGCTCTGGGGAGTGGGCATCACCGGCCGAAGCGGAGCCCCTGGCTTTGCAGCTGTTCTCTGGCTGAGCAAGTGATGGAGGTGTGGCTGCCTTGACCTTACTTTACAAGCCTTGGCCGTAGCTTGGGGCCAGTCTGGATGCGGAAGCCTCTTGGCCTGCCTGCTGCAGGGCAGGGAGCGAGGCTCTGGTGGCCTGGGGAGGGAGCGTTTGGGACAGGTGCTGAACCCTTGGGCATGGCCCAGCGCACCGGGTGGTCCCTTGGGCTAGTCAATGACGCCTCAGTTTACCTGGGTGCCAGTCGAACAGGTATACTTTGCTACTTCACAGGGGTGGTAGGGAGGCCTAATTAATGTTTGTAAATCCCTCCTGAGATCAAAGACTCTGCAGAAGGGCAGAGCACCATTTCATAAAAACGCTTGTGGTTGCCAGTGCGGAGCTGGCTTACCTTTGATCTGAGACAGGCCGACACCCTGAATGTGGTCCCGGCTCTGCTCCGAGAGGCCGGGCCCTTCCTTTGAAACACACCTTGCCCTGGGATTCAGCCAGCCAAGACTGGGTGGGGGGAGCAGAGCGGAGCGGAGCGCCCTGGATAAGTCATCATGGTTGATGTGGGAGTGTCTTCCATTTGGGGGTAGGTAGCAGCCAATCTGTAGAACATGCAAAGACCATCCAAGTAGCTTAGAAAGTGCAGGGGGCACACCATGCAACAAGCAACTCCATTTCCTGCCCTCCCCCATTGTTTTCCATTTGATTGAGTGTATCCTGTAAAACTGTATATTCCTGTGAGGAATTGTACTTTACACTGATACAATGAGATCAGACACAAGCTCTCTCTTCCCTGCCTCCCACCACTCCTCGTTTCCCCCTCTCCGGGTTAAGAGAGTTCTTGAAAAGTTGTTTTTCCAGCCTGAGAGAATGCCACAGAATGCTGGAGAGGGATGAGAGAGAGCCAGGGGGGGTAGGCAGCAGAAACACAGAGGTGCTTGGGAGTTACCTGTAGGCCCCCTACCTCCCTTTATCAGGTCATGGAAACAGCTGCAGGGCTAGTAAAAGGCTCCCGTGGGCTACTGGCCTCCGGACTGCTCTTTTGCTTGGTTTCCTATTGACCAAGTGGTTTCAGTGGGAAACTAACGCTCATCCAGGTACCTCCTGCTAGTGGCCTGGGCTGGGGACCGGCATCTGCAACATCCACCCTGGTGTGGTGTTTGCTGCTGAGCCGGCGAGCCGGAAGCCCCTTCTCTGAGCCAGCCTTTCTCGCTGGACTTCAGTAAGACGGGGTCTGGTGTAGTTTTGTTTCCTGGGACTAGTTAGTTCTGATTTGTGGGCAATATTTTTTTTTTGTTTTAATTTCTTGGAGGGAAGTTGGCAAGTCTGTCTGTCGATTTCTCAGCTCGGTTTGTCATTGTCCTCATTGGCTCTCAGGTCACTGGGGCTAGTACCTGAGGGTTCCAAAGACGCGAAGAGAAGCTTATAGTATAGTGAGCACAGACAGGATCTGAAGGGAACTCACGTGCTGGGTGCCAGAAAGTGAGGGCAGGGAGCCTTGCAGGCCCGGGGTTGCCCGGGAAGGTTTCCAGAGATGGGGAGTGTGGACTAGGCCTGGAAGCAGGTAGAGAGCATTTCCCCTCCGGCTGGGAGTCTTGCTGGGAATGTTCTTGCTCTTGATCTGGTGGTGGCTCTACACAGGTGTACGCATGAGTACAGGTCACGGAGTTGTACTTGAGAGGTGGATTCTCTCCTGTGTTTGTTGCACCTCAATTAAAAAGGAGAAAGAAGCCCCTGTAGCCGAACCCCCGTCTTGAGAAAGTCCTAAGAACTGGGAAGTTTATCTTGAAAAAGATGAGGGTGAGACATTGGACCATGGTGGTGGCAGAGAGGCCCCTGGGTCCAGGCAAGGAGGCCCTGGGATCCATGGCAAGGAGACGGCCGCCAGGGTTGAGAGTCAGAACCTGGGCCCCCTTTGACCTTGGCAGCTACCTGGTTTCCTCAATGGGGGAGAAATTCCAGCCAGTCTGCGATGGAGCCTGACTTGACTAATGATTAACTCGCCTCGGAGGAGCCCAGACGGGTGACAAGGTGCTGTGGTCTGTCTTATGATGGGCAGCGAGCCCTGGGCGGCCCATTCATACTCAGCCTCGTGGCTGGGAGTCAGCCGTTTGGAATGTGTGGTTTCTCTTTAATGCTGGTTAGAATGTGCTTAAAAATTAATCTTGGTGTTTTTATTTATTTGTGTATTTATTTCTTTCTCTCCCCTTTTCACATCCACAGCAGACTGTCCAGATGCTGTGCCTTCCCCCGCTGAAACAGGGGGAACGAATTATCTGGCCCCTGGGGGGCTTTCAGGTAAGACACCTTCTCGGATTTTCCTGGCAAATTCCAAGACCTTGAAATTACTGGAGTCGGAGGAAGGGGGGCGGAGGGGTGGCCAGCCTTCTGTCACCCCAGCTGGTCTGGGATTCTCACTTTTCTGTGCATTAAACTGGATGTGATCTTGGTGTCGCTGGGGCCCTTCAGCTCATCATTCTGAAGCCCCTGACACACCAGGACACAGGGCCACTCCGTGGATGAGGAAATGGGGTCCACCTGGGACGGGTGTTGTGCTGTGTTTTATGGTTGTTGTTAAGCAACTCCTGGCTGGGGTGGGGGGCTTCCACTTGGCGACCTTGTTGTCATTAGTTCATAGGTTTCAGCTCTTGTTTTTGCTCTTGTCCTTTGGGCTTTGGGCGTCTCCAAGGGGAAGGGTCCGCTTTTCGGGAACTTGTGGAAGACAGATCCCAAGTGTAGGATGGGCGTTCAGAGCAGAAGCCCTTGATGCTTCTCCAAGTCCTAATTCCCCATCCAGCTCAGGGCCGGATGCCGGATGCCAGCGACAGGGTCTGGGCACTGAGACACAGGCACTAACGCTGCTGCTACCCAGGAGGGAGGGTTTTCCTTAGAGCTGGGGGTTGTGGGATTGGATGAGGGGCGTTGGGTAGCCCGAGCATCATTGTCCCCGAGAGAGGAGAAGAGAGTGATAAACGTGGAGAAACTCACTAGCCATGTACCTGAGAGGCATTGCTGTTCTTTTCCAAAGCCATCCTGTTTCCACCTGTCTTTCCCGCCCCAGGATGCCACCACGGGATTTTCTAAAAACTAGCTACAGCAAGAGGAAAGTAACCTGGGGGAACATTCCAGCAGAGTCTGGGCATTTGTCCTTTCTTGCCTTTGTTTGGGGCACTGGTGTAGGACCACGGCGGCTCAGAGGGAAGCTGTAAGACTGTCTGTGGGGGACTGTGGTGCATCCTGTCCTGTGAGGTGCCTGACTGGTCATCCCGGACAGCCCCGCCCAGCGCCTCTCCAGGAATGGAGCTGGCGGAGAGTGTCTTCAGGGAGACCTTGTTTGTTTTTATTTCTATGCAGTATATACTCTGAGTGTTATCTGAGACAGAAGGGATTGTTGACTCAAAGCTCCTAATGAAAACCGAGCTGGACAAAGTGGGACCCCCAGAGTGGGGAGGGGGCTCAGACTGGGAGGGAGGATGGGAGTGAGCCGGAGCTTGCGAGGAGGGGAGGCCACGCGGACACACGGGAACGCGGGAACTGCGTCTTTTCTGCTTTCTAAGGCTCCGAGAGTTCCTGAAAGAAAGAAGGCCAGGGAGAGGAAAGGGTCTGGGCAAAATAACACTGGGGATGCTGTTAGATGGTTTTGTTTTTTAAATCCTGAGCATGCAGGAGGCACCCAGCCCCTCTGAACCACATGAAGTAAGCAGGGGAAGTGGCAGCTTTTGAAAGAGGGCCTTGGGAAGGTTTGTCTGATTGATAACATCTTGTCTGTCTCCTCTGCTGGAGGAAGTGACGGACACCTCCCTGTGCGCCCCACAGCTGAGCAGTGCGACCCACTAAACAGGACACCCCGCGGAGCCCCTTCTGAGATGGGTGGGCTTCTTGTCCCAAAAGCTTTTCCAGTTCTAGAAAGAAACGTTGTGTGTGTGTGTGTAAAACAGCTATTAATCCTGCCCCCCCCACCCCCATAATTGCAACCAGTTAGATGAATGAGGAGCTGCTAGGAAGGCGTGCTTGCCTCTGAAGAGATCCCGTGGTTTAACAAAACTGCAAGAAGGAAAAAAAAGGGGGGGCCCCAACATGAAAGAGCATTTGTTTTGAATTTCAGCTCTTGATTTACTAATTCCCAAGGCTTCAAAGTTTGAGCTCTTTCTTCTTTCCGTTCGGAGTTGGAGCAGTTTATTAATAATGTGCCGCGGGGGGGAATTGAAGAAATTGTGTTTTGGGTTGGTGCCGGCGGTTTGGGGGTGGCTGGAGGGGAGGTGTTGGGCATGGAGAAAACCTAGGGTTACACCCTTTGCATCGAGAATGCCCCCCAAAAGATGATTGTACTGGCCGGGGGCCAGGGCAGAGGGTTTTGTAAATGGAGACAGCCCAAACCTCCTCCTCTGCAAGAAGTTGATCTTTCCATGGGGGCGTGGGGGGCAGGGCGGGGTGTGTCTGCCTTGCAGAGGATGAGGCCATTGGGGGCTGCGGTGGCTGCAGAGCCCCGGAGGAGGGGGCGGGGGGCCTGCTGGGCAGGGGAAGGGGTTAGCAGAGGCAGGAGGGTGAGAGCCTGCTTTGGGGGATGGGGAGGTGGGCATCAAGGTGCGAGCGGTGAAAGCGCCCACCAGGAGTGCCCCCTCCTTCCCCTCCTCCGCCTTGAAATAACCTCTCTGAGTGTCTCTTTCACAGGCCCTGTGTGCTGTTTTCCTTCCTGTCCTGCCCCGCCTGCTGGGCAGGGGAAGGGGTTAGCAGAGGCAGGAGGGTGAGAGCCTGCTTTGGGGGATGGGGAGGTGGGCATCAAGGTGCGAGCGGTGAAAGCGCCCACCAGGAGTGCCCCCTCCTTCCCCTCCTCCGCCTTGAAATAACCTCTCTGAGTGTCTCTTTCACAGGCCCTGTGTGCTGTTTTCCTTCCTGTCCTGCCCCGGCCGAGAGCGGCCTTAATGAATGGGGCTCAGTTTAGGGTGGGCGGCAGGTCGGCAGCGGGAGCCAGGGCTTGATGCTCTTGGCACGGGAAGAAGGGAATGAAAAACAGCCGAATGTGAAAATGCGGGGCCTCGGCGGTGGGGGTGGGGCCGTGCTCAAAGGCATGCCCCTCCTGAAATGCAGGGTGATTCCAAGGCGGGCCCTTCCCTTTCCTGCGAGGACGGGGAGAGGAAGGGGAGTGGGCGGCCGGAGCCCTGGGAGCCGGCCTGCTGGCTGCGGGTCGGAATTC